ACTCGTGGAATTTTGCCAACGAGTCGATGTGGGCGAGAATATTGTCTCCCTCCATTTTGGCTAGGAGGAGCTTACGAATCCAGAAAACTCGCCCTCCGGTAGTCGAGTCTTGATGAGTGCGACGGAGTGATTCCCACATTTTGTGGGCGTCCCGGAAATGTTCTCGGATGTGACGGAGATTCAAAGAATTGATTGCTTGTGTGATGACCGCGCAGACGGCCTTGTTGTCTGTCGTCCATGCGGCGGAACGGAACTCGGGATCCGTGTACTTAAGGATGTAGTCAACTCCAGCGGCCTCGAAGTACGAGGTTACGACAAACTCCCAGTTGAGGTAGTTCAATTCTGGACCGGGGGCTGATAAGATTGGAAGCCTCGCTGAGGAGACTTTCTGAGATGATGTAGTGGGCGAGTCTGAACCAATATTGACAGTGTGGTGTTCTAAACGGTACAGGCCCCCTCAAGCTCAAATTTCAAATTTCAACTTTCAACTCTTCAATATCCTCAAGACTCAAGATTTCAGTATTATCACCTCAAATCCCCACTCAGTCCAATGGTTTCCTCATTTTATCATTTTATTCCATTTCATCTTATTATTTACTCTTCATGTTATTTTTTTATTCATCTTGATTTTATTTTTTATCATTTTATTATTCTTACTTATCTTTTTCAAATCACCTACTCAGAAGACAGTCTTGTAATTTAACTTTCTTGGTCCTAAGACATCTCAGGATGTTGGTTTATTTCACTCTTGATTATTTTATTTTATTTTATTTTATTTTATTTTGTTCTGTTCTGTTCTGATGTTGTGTTGTGTTGTGTTGTGTAGTGTGGTCTTGTTTTTGTTTTCTGGTTGAGTTGTGTTGTAGTTAGGGATGTGATGACATGTCTGTGACATGTCACTCCCCAGAGTCAAAGTTCAGTTTGAACTGAGATGATGGGGAACCATGGCACTCTGATCTGATCCAAGATAGACCCATCAATTCTTATTGATCTTTTTATTATTCATTCATCTGATCCTCATATTCACCTTCAAAGATCCTCAACCTCAACAACCGCCACAGAACTCAATTTCTGTTGTCTCCTCTCAGAAAACCAACCAACCCCAACGCGTTTTGTTCAGATCACAGCTCAACTCATCCAGACCCCACTTGAAGGCAGCCCTCAAAGCAATTTCCCTTCAACCAACTGCCTACCGCCTGGCACGATAGGAGTTCCACAACAGTCAGATGACTCTTCTTGTTGGAGGGTTTGAGAGTATTGTTGGACATGGTGGCCGCGACGATCTGATGGGGTGATCCTTGATTGAGATAGATACAACAGGGTCACTTGTAAGACCTTTGTTTAACGTGAAGGTGGTGCTTGAATCCAGCCAGCTAGCGCGGTCTCATAACCTGATAAGCTAGAGAGGGGCTGAGATCAGCGGGCACGAGGTGGGGTGAGTGGCCGTGGTTCGTGGAAGGATCAGTATATCATTTCACAGTATCACTAAGAGAGGAAAGAACAAAAGAAAGGGAATACATACCTGAGATCAGCGGGCACGAGGTGGGGTGAGTGGCCGTGGTTTGTGGAAGGATGAGGAAAGGATCCTTCCACTCCCGCTGTCTCAGGTACACTACATAACATGTGAAATGTGAGTGAAATCTGAGAGACATGTATAAAGCAGAGAAAAGAACAACAGCAATGAATATGCATAGCTCAAAAGGCGGCTTACATGAAGCGGTTCTATGCCAGGGGTTCCACGTCTTTTGACGAGACGGCAGACAAGGACAATGAGGAGGAGGTGGTGAAGATGATGAAGCAGTGGGGCCCTTCAGAGGACGGGTCCAATGCGGCGGGAGAGAAAGACGATGATGCCTTGGCAGAGGACTCGGAGTCTGGGAGTGGTTCCGAGGAGAATGAGGCCTTGGTGCAACCAGAATAAAGATGACAATCGGTACCCGGCACCTGTTTGCCTGGTACTGCCCGGATCAGCCTGGCACCCGCCAGGGGGTACCTGGTGTTCATTTCTGAGCAAAACAAAGGTGGTACCAGGGTACTGCTAGAGGTACCCTCTTTGCTGCGCAGTCACTAAGTAGGGGGATGGCTGTTAAGTAGGGGGATGGCTGTTGCCTTCTAATAAGAAAATGGGATGATAAAGGAAGGGGTTTTGGCCAAGTGGCAAGATGGTATTCAGACTTCTCAAAAGGGTAAATCAGATGGTAAAGGTAAAATAAAGGTGATAGTATTAGAAGATTAGCCCAACACAATACTCACATGTAGTGAGAAAAAAAAGTGAACTTATATATTCTTTTCTGAGTTATTTTTTCTGGTGGTGATGCAGTTGAGGTGATTTTGCTGGTGGTGAACTTGTGGGTTGCACTGCCTCCTGCAAAGAGTACATGCATTATGCTGTGGAATTAACTAAATATGGTACTACTGTATGTAAGGATTGCATAAACTGGTTGCGCTGCCTGGTGGAGGTTTTCTGTCCACATGCATTTATGCAAAGTCTGCGTACATTTGATTGAGTTACTAAGTGGAGGCCTAATGGTTGCACGTATGCATCCAAGAATTGCATAAATGATCTGCCCTACTGGTGGAGGCCTGCTGATTTAATAATTTATGTGTATGTACTTATATATATGTGGTAAACTACTATTAAATACTAATTAATGACTATTTATGGTATGGATTTAACCTTTATATTGGATTATCTTTTAAACTAATAGAGATAGAGGTATATTTGTAGTGAGTGACTATGGGTAAAATTGTATGTATATTCTGATTATGCAATAATATATTCATATATGTAAGTGGTTTAGGTTATAAGGTAGGGTTTTTTTGGCAGTTTTGCTGCGTCCAACAGCCCTGGACCACCACAATGTGCCCAAGATGGCAATGCCAATTGTAAGAAGGGGAAGATATCTGAAGTGGTGGAGTAGCAGAAGCAAATTTGATTGAGTGGTTTATGTGGTGCCAAGATGTGGGGAATATGATCCAAGAGTGATTAATATATTTAGCAATGACTGAAATGAAGGAGGAGGTTAAAAGAATGTTGTTGTTTGGTAGGAAAGAAGTTTTGAAGCTGGAATCAATTAGTTGTCCCAGACTAAGGAGCGTTCCGTCATGTCCGGGCTGTGCAGGACTCGCGGGATCATTGGGGAACCATCCCCACTGATTATCCTCAGGTTACCACTGTGTGTTGCCATCATGGAGCCATCAGAAGATGTGAGATTCAGTTTAATTGGTGGACGGAGACAGGATAAGTTAGAAAAAAGTTGGAAAGAGCTGCTGTGGAAAGTAAGGCACGCCCTAGGAGATTTCTTGCTCTTCTCCGCTCCGCAACACATCCTACTCCTGTTTTGCTGTCCGGGGTAACTTGCTTGATGGTCTTGTAGGTAGGTAAAGTGGAATATTCTTTTATTGATCTTCTGATAAGTAACACTCCAACTCTTAATATCTAACAATTCTTTAGGCTAATACACGATTTACTCCTAAGTCACTCTGTTTTTCTGATATGTTCTGAGTCATAAGTCCCCCCTCCCTTCTCCTCCTTCTGCTACCGAACTCTACCCTTCCCAGTTATCCCACGCTCCAGTTCCTCCTGCTTCCCACAATGTCCTCCGCTGTCACTCCCTCGGACTCTGCTCGTCACCCCTCCGACGCATGTCGGTCTAGGTACTCCTCCGGCCACTCCTGGACAGTTCTCCCACCGCCGCGTCCGCCTCTGGCTTGCTCCAAGCCCCGCTTCCGCCTCTCGGTGCCCCCGCTCCTTGTAGCCCCTCCGCAGTATACGCTGAAACCCCATTCCGCAGTCGGCCGCGAACTCTGGCGTCCGCCAGTGCCCGGATTCCCCGCAGCAAGCTTTGGGAACCTTGCGCATCTAGCCTGCTTTTCTCCGCTCTCCCGCACCTCGGAAGGCTAGACTTTCAACTAACGCGCCCCGCTTTCCTCAGCCTGCGTGTGTAGCGTAAGCTCCGCATGCTTTCCGTATCAGCCGCATGCTTTTCCGCGTCAGCCGCAAGCATTCCGCATGCACCCAAACAAACCGGCCAAAGCTTTGGCCAAGGCGCGCTCCCGCCACCACACCGCTCACGTGGTGGGTTGCCCCAGAATCCAAAACCCTGCCTGCACCACCAGCACCCGTCACATCCGCGTCCACGGACGACCTAACTAACATATTTTGAATCAGTGATTTATTACGAAAAAGAGCCGAAACACTAAAGGCAGAAGATAATGAGAAAACAACATTATAGGAAAAAGAAGAAAGAGAATGAAAGAGAATGAACCAACAGTGGGAGATCAGTTCATTTGAGAAGAACACACAAGATGAAGAGAGAATAGATGAAGAGAGAATAGATGAAGAATAGTTTGGCAGAACTGGAAGAATAGAGTTAGTTAAGAGCAGAATCATAAAAGAAGAAAGAGCAAGACAAATCTCACCAGGCAGGGAAGAGAGAGAAGAGAGTTTAAGAAGAGTAAGAAGAAGAAGAGAAATAGAAGGGGAATTGGGAGTGTGAGATTAGAGATGGTGTGGAACTGCTGAACAATCAGAAACAGAGCTTGGAGGGGAAATAGACAAATACGCTACGAATAATGTAAATTGAGACTATGGGTGCTGTTGAGGCTGCCCTGCTGTACAATGCTGGAGTTGGGAAGAGTTACACTAAGAAAAAGAAGAAAGGTGTGGCTTTTATTCTAGTAATTCTTAGTGAGTTCTAGGACAGTAAGGTGTTATCAAGGTCTAGTGATAATACCACAGAGTGTATGAGGAGTGTTGAGGAAGGAGGATTGTAGAGTGATGATTAAGGTTCAAAGGGTATGAGCAAAATATGCAGAGGTGGTCAAAGGATAATGTGCAAAATATGCAAGGTTTCTGAGGAATGAGTGCAAAGTATGCAAGGAGTCACTAAGGGGCAAAATATGCAAAAGAGGGGGAAAGAAAATATGGCTAAAAAATTATTTCTGGCAAAGTATGCATTGATTGTTGTATGTCTGTTGTCTATATTCTCTATTTATATGTATGTATTGTTATCTCTCTGTCTATGGGTGGGGTACAAGTGTAAGAGGGACTACTTATATACTCTAAGATACAAATGAGCACAGACTGTGGCAATTCTGGTTATGAGAAAGGAATGTACATATGTAGAAACAGAGATGAGAAATGTAAACAGAAAACAAGGATGAGTAAAGGGGAACAAACCCAAAGAGGAGAAGGTCTGTGAAAGAGTGTACTACTGTTATCCTGAAGGGTACATGTGAAATAATGAGTGTAAAGAAAGTATCTGAGAAAATATCTGATATATGTAATGAGAAAACAACTACTGTAAAGAATGTGGCTGATGCAATGAGAACAAATAATTGTAAATGAGAGTACTTGAGAAAGATATGATGTATGAAGCAAACTGTAAATATGTATCCTATGTAGCTACTGTGTAATGTAAATGTAGAGAAAAATATCTGTAAAACTAAGAATGAAAGTAACTATTGATCCAGTAAGAAATGAAATATGGCTTGAGTGAGTGACTGTATATAAAATTGGGTGTAGAATCTGAATATGTCATAATAATGAAGGAAAACCAAGTGAATATACAGTGACATAATAGGGGCTTTGGAAAGGTATGGGTTACCACAATGGTTAGAGAGAGTTGTGGAAGAAGAGTGAGGTAGGTGATTGAAATTGAATTTGATTGACGTGAAGGAGATGATCAGGATGGTGTGCAAGAGCTCGGGGGAAAGGAAGGTGAAGGAACAGTTTTTGGTAAGAGGGAACTGTGACATCTCTGTGATTTTTACACTAAGCACCGCATTAGGAGTTGAGCCAGTTGGTGGGTCGTTCAGGGGTGCTTTTTTCTTGACAGGCGAAACCAGAAGCGGGGTGACTAGGCGTGGAGGTGTTGGTGTGGTAAGCCACTCTTGAATGAAAGTCCCACAAAATCAAATCTTCAAGCATAATATCAAGCCCTCTGGAAGACATTACCCTCAAGGATCAAGACAAGCCCCTTCTGAAATATTCATCCAGCCTGCAACACCATGGATGTAACAAGACCAAGCCCCCTGGACAGAAGACACTCTGGATTCCCATTTAATTTCATTATTACATAATCATCTCGTGCAGTCTTACATCATCAATACCCATTCAGCCTTCCACACTTGGCCTCTGCATGTGTTTCATTCTATTGCACTTTCACTCTAGCCCCATTTCCACTTTGGGCCACATTCTATGGTTTCACACTGTTTCTCTTGGGTTATTTTCATGTCTCACACTAGTACACATCTGGCTAGTTCATTTTCCTCTCTGGTATATTCTTCCTCCCTCATTGGTTGTGGCATATTTCATTCCTGCATGTCTCTGATGTCATTTCCTCCATCCCTCTTAGTGCCTACCAATTGGGCCAAATGTTTCAGTTTGATAATTTTATCTTGTTCCATTTTGTTCCATGGTGATTCCAACCACAAGCTGGCCACTCCCCAGATTTTGTAAATGAGGAGCCTTCTTTTCCCCTGTTCACAGCAATGGGCAGATATGTTACCCAAATGGATAACGTTGACTGTAATGTAACCTTTACAGTTACATTAACCACAAGTTACAGATATCTTTATATCAGTTACAATATCTACTGGAGCAAAAGGCCCCTTTTTTTCTAGTTACGTTTCCAGAAATTCTGAACAAAACAGGATTACATTCCAGAATTTCCAATATTTTGATAACTTAAGGGTAACTTTGCTGGTGATACACTGATTCTTGATGGTTTTGTTCATTAGGAGCGAGGTAATTTTCACAATATGATCATAGACCAATCAGTGATTATCATTTCACCAGCAAGCTAGGTAAAAAGATGTCTGGTGTGAGAATTGAACCCACAACCTCCACATATTCAATGTGCATGAGAGGCACTCTTTGACCATCAAGCTATATGCAATATGATTTGTCCCTTCAACCTCTCATAACACCCTCCACCCAAGTAAGTTACGTTAACCCCAAAAAATATATGGAAAAAATAAAATTGGTTACTTTACTTTACTTTACAACCAAATTTAGTTACTTTACAAAAGCAACAGATTTGGATAACTAAAAAAAAGTTGCGTTCTCCAAATCCCCTGCTGTAACGTACCGTAACGTATCTGCCCACCACTGCTCTTCATTTGTTCCCCATCAGATCCTGCCCCAGCAATCCAGATAACTGATCACCCTTCATTAGCCTAGTAGTTGCCCATCAAAATTTGGGATACTAGTATTATTCAGACAGAAGACCAGAAGACAGAATACATACCCATCTCAAGAATTCTCAAAAGCCACACCTTTCCTTAAGAGTCCATACTCTTATCTTTTTCTTGTTATCTGACTCAACCCGGTTACCAGAGAGACAGCCCATCAGAGCATCTTTCCCTCTCCAGTTCTATTCATCCCAAGAGTAGTTCCACATTGGGAGGGGAAAGATTGGCATCTCTGTGGAGCGTCAGACAAGACAACCTCCAATGCCCTGACACGCTACAGTACAAACATGGTTTTCCAATAAAGATATTGGGATTTCTTGGGCCTTGGTTTCCCTTCCAAATGTTGTTGATCGCTGCTGTGATGTCCTCAATGGTTGGGTGAACGGGTCTGCCCGCACTTTTTTGACAACTGTTGTTGGTTGTCAAATTGGATGGCTGGGTTCTTGGGTGGTTCTGTTGGAAAGGGTTTTGACAGGGAGGTCAGATTGGGGTTTGGCTTGAAGGCGCCCATTGTTTTTGGCTGGGCCAGGTCCGGAATACATACACGTTTGGTGATGGTGATGAGTCGAAGCAAAGGGCTTTGCCATATGCCAAGGTAATGATAGTTTGAATGTTGTGGGCCGTGATGTCTGACTTCTTGCCGAGTTGGAGGGAGATGTTCTGGAAAATTTGGGAGCAGGACATTGACAAGGGTGAAGGGACAACGGCATGGAGAATGAGGCTTTCAACAAGAGGTGATTGACCTTCACCAAATATGTGTAAGACATTGAAGGTCTTGAAGATTTTGTTGAACAGGCCGGGGATTTGAGAAGGCTCAGTGGATGGGCCAGAAACACAGAACTCAAGGAGTTTGTCAATGAGTTCCATCTGACAGAACCACCTTTTCCTTGGAAATTTGTCTGGACGGCATTGTAGGCTTTGGTGCCCTTGGTGTATTTGTAAGGTCTGGATATGAAACTAGAAGCAAATTCTAGTACTATTCCTGTCCTAATACATTTTTTAGTAATTTTTATATTAATTTTTAAAGTTAAAAGTGTATTTAAACTTACAAAAAGGGGCTTGTTGGTTAAACAAGCTAAGAAAACTATAACCTCACAATATTACTTGTTAAGAGGCCTAGAGCTGGGTGTTAATCAATACTCTGAATTCCAAGGGAGGAATGGGGAAGATTGAATTGTTTGTTAGACAATAAATCACAAGGAGTTTGTACAAAAATTTCTTTTGAATGAGTTGAGAATTCCTGGGCAATTTCTAGAGCAATACCTCTGCAACAGAAAGTAAGAAATGGCCAATTTTAAAGGAAGAAAGAGCTGGGATCTTTTAAGGGCAAAGGCTACAGGTTAAGGCTGGAGGTTTTAGTAAACGAGGAGCTCTGTTTTGTGGTTAGAATGCTAGGGTTGATAAGATAAATGGTTGGAAATGCTGGCTTCAAGTATAAAGTAGTATATATGGTGAAGTGGGTGAATTTCTGAGGTTTAAGCACTCAATAAAGGAGTCTTTATATAGCCACACACCTGAGGGTGGCTTACAGTGCATTTTTGCACGATGACACTGATGCTTTGGGCTCTTTTGGCTGGGTGGAAGCCTTGCCCAAGGCCTTGGTTATCAGTATCCCAAAGGCTGAAACAGTTGTAACTGTAACTAGAGATGGTCACTTTGCATCCGGATATCTGCGTGGATCTGGATATCCGCTCTTAATTTCAGCAGAATTGCCTAATTTCACTGAAATTATGAATGGATATCCATATCTGCACAGATATCTAGATGCAAAGCGACTATCTCTAACTGTAACCACGGGTACAGCTACCCAGTCAGGAAATAATGATGCAATGCCAAGGTATTTCTAGGGTTCTAGATACCCAAAGGAGACTTTTTGTTTTGTATGCAATCCATTTTGGAGGGGATTGGTTGAGGTATTCTGATATGTACTGGCTGAGAACAGATTAACTACTTGGGCCAGATTGAAATGGGCCAATTCTCAACCCTGTTGATTTCAAACTGGACCAGGGTTGTTCTGGTGGATGGCTGATGTAAGAGGATATTCTGAGTTCGCTCAGAGAGGTCATTAAGGTTAGGGATAAACAAAACAGGTTACATGACCAAGTGGCTGGTCAGGGTTCAGAATATGTGGTCCAAATTGGTTACTTTGTTATAGTTGCTAAACTACAAGGTTGTACATGTTGCACAAGCCTTGGAACCTTGTTTATCTTGAGTTCGCATCCAGTGAACCTTGTCAGCTGATTTGGTTCTGTAACTTTAAATGTCTGTAACTCTTTAGTGATTTATTATTTTACAGAATTCTTTGTTTTTTGAGTATGTAGTTACACAGTGGAATGTAACTACATGAAGTTTGTTTTTATTTTCTAAGTAAGGTAAAAAAGTTAATTTTTATTTTTGAAGGCCTTTGTGGTCATTTGCAGGCTTTTGACCATATATACTTTTAGGCGCTTGGAAAAACGACTCCTAAATTTTAGGCAACGACTCCCGTTTTGGTCGAGGGTTTGTCGGCGGGAGTCGTTCTTCCAATTCCCAAAAAATAAAGGGAGTTGTCGCCCTAATTTCACTTAAAAGGCGGGAGTTGGCACACTAATTCCACCAAATATTTCTACTTTTTTTTTTATATTAAAAAAGATAGGAGTTGTTTAACTAAATACGGGAGTCGTTGCCATATAGCTGTAGAGACAGAAAAAATGAAGATGTGTCTGGTGAGATTTGAACTCACAACATCAGCAATGCTGAGACACATACTAAAGTGCTGCCTTTACCAACTAGGCTACAGACGCTTGTGACTGCCAGGGTAGTTGAGTGATAGTGCTCATGGGTCAAACCATCAGCTCCTCCATACTGTGGTAATACATCATGGTAGCAGACTATCATACGCCTCAACAATAGCGTCCCTAGAGACTCAAAAAAAAACTAGAGCCACTGGGGCCCCACCCCAAAGGCACTCTATCAATGATAAAAAATTACATTCATTGAAAAAAAAAACAGTTGTGAGAGATAAAAGAAATGATAAACGGGCCAAATACATTCAAAATTGATCAGAAATTTAAGAAAAAAAAGGGTAAAAAAAGGAAATAGAGGAAAAAAATCAAAAACTAAAAAAAAACAGGGAAAAAACCCTAGTAGTGGGTCATTGGATTTTCAATTTTCCTCCCTACAGTCAATTGGAAACAATCAGAAAATTTAGCTTCCCATCCCCAAGCCTCTTCTGAGGACTTTTCTTTCCAATCCTTCATGAGCTGAGGGGCAGCAAAGAGTCTTGGGTTATGTAACTGCAAGGGGAAAAAATGAGAAAAATTGGATAGAAAAGCAATAAAAATTGGGGTTTTGTCATTGAACTTGAAGGTTGATTTGGGTGAGTGGATATGGGTTGGTGGTGGGTATGCAGGTTAGGGTTGGCAACTCCTGAATGGGAGAAGAAACAATTTTTCTTCTCCCAAGCCGACTCCTAGGGATTGGTCTGACGGCTCCTGCAAGACAAAAAAAACAGCTGAGTTGTCACTTTGGGAAATTGGGCCATCAACTCTCATTTTGTCAGGTGAGGATGGCCTGACAACTGCCAATGGAAAAAAAAGGAAAAACCCCAAAAAAAAGATGAGAATTGGGTGCAACAACTCCCAAATATTAGGTGGAAGACTCCCAAAAAAAAAAAATGTATTTCAAAATGGACGGACGACTCCTATTGAAAAAAGTCATATTGGTCCGACGACTCCCCAGACCAAGCCCTGGGTCCAGATTTGGTCCAGGGGTGGTCTGCAGATGGTCCTCTCGACGTCAACAACCAAATGGGAGTTGTTGCCTAAAATTTAGGAGTCGTTTTTCCAAGCCCCTACGTTTATATGTAGACTTTTATGCTTAATACTAATTTACTGTTTATAATGTTTTTACTTGGGCTAGTCTTGATACTTGACTATCAGTTGTAATTATTATTTTTATTATTTATGTTTTTGAGGCCTATGGGTATGTATATACCTCAAGGCTGACAGTAGTGATCAACGAGAGGGGCAATTTTGTCATGGATGGTGATCTGGATGAGGAATAAGAGGCATGTATTCTCCTGTTCCAATAGTTTGGGATAATTGTCTGACTTATCAAAAAAATTGGGGTGTCCAAGAGTGAGAAGGATGATTTGGGTGAGGCCTTGTTTCCACTTGTCAAAGTTGGAACTGTTGGCGGTGAGTTTTTTAACGTCTTGTTTGTAAATGCTTGGTTGTTGTAAAAATTTTGTGTGAGGTGTGATGTTGGATTTCATTCATGTGGACATTGGAATAGGTCTGTCAATCGGAGTTGTTTGTCAAATGGGAAATTGGATTGCTGTGGATTGCCGAGTGAGAAATTGGGAGTAAATATGGGATAAGGGAGATAAGAAAGGAGAAGGAGGTTGGTTGTTGTTGTTAGTTACTAGTAATGCTATGGTGTGTGTGATGTGGAGGATTGGAACTAGTCGGATCTATGCCGGAGATGCTAAAGTTTCTTAGGTCTTTGATAAGCGTGAGGAGTTGTTTTGGTTGATGATTATGTGTAGGGCCAATGTCTGGTGGGGTTGGTGGAGGCTATAATGGTAGAGGAGGAAGTTTCAATAGTTGGCAAAAATTCTAGTTTTTGTCTTTGTTCAAGAATGGAAACCGGTTTGCAATGACAGGTTGGAGGAGGCAATGGGCTAAATAGGATGTCCTTTGTCAATCTTTGAGTATGTACCATAAAAGGCTTGGTGTGTAGGCTAGTTGTTGGGTAGAGCAATATACTCTTGATCTGTTGTGGTCGGAATGCCTGGTGTTTAATGCTAATCTCAGTTCCACCTCTTGCAGTCCTCCTACTCCAAATATGGAGTTTGCTCACCTGTACAACAATTAAAACTTGCCAAGCTAAGCTTGGTGGGTCTTGGTATTTGATCGTACAGAAGGGCAGAGCTTACACTCCACCATTCCCTTCTCCATTCAGCAAAAAGGGTCTTACAACCACTTTTTGAGTCTTCCAGCGGTGCTTGTACATCTTGGCTTGGGCTGACTAGCATCTCTACTGTAGCAGGACCATCAACTTCATGGAATCAGTTCACTTCATTCTTCAGCTAACTTCAATCAAGAACCAGAACCCTGAAGATCCCCCCCCCCTCCCCCCACCTGATCTCCCCAGCACACCCCTAACACAATCCTCCAAAACCGACTTTGGTCCTGGGGGTTGCTTGGTTAAAAAGAGCCCCCAATGGCTGGGAGGGTTTCTGTTGGCTGTTGAGAACTTGAGATTGTCACTCTTGACAGCCAGGAGGATTTCTCCCAGCCACTAAGAGCACACTCTCAGCAACCAACAGTGTTCTTCTCCACCATCAAGAGTGTGCAACTCTCAATAACCAAGAGGAACACTCTCAGAAGGCAAGAGTGAACAACTCTTGAAAATCAAGAGGAAAACTCTTGGCCATAAATAGTGTCAGCTATGTGTATGAAACTTTGGCCTAATTAATATAACAGCCAAGTACTATTGCTGTGCTGAAGGACTAATTTCACGACCAAGATTACTCCTAGTCACCCTCAAAGTATTAAGTGTTCCAAGCTTCCCACTAAAGAGTTTCTAAGTCCACACTCCTCAGTTAATGACACTTTGAATAATCCAAGGAGCACTGTAGGAGACAATAACAGAATAAGTTATTGTAGTTTGTTTGGAAGAAATAATTAATATTGCAAGAAGTAGTTGGCAAGCACCTGAGCTGAAAGTCTACAGTCAGAGGTGGTGGTCTTGTAGCAACTACTTTTTAAGGAATTAATCAAGTGTAGAGTCTGGGATAACTCTTGGCTTAATAATAATTCCAGTAAGAAGGTAGGGTCGGATTGGATAAAAGACTACTCCAAAAGTAGGTGGAGAATATTCAC